AGGAAGGAAGGAAGGAAGGAAGGAAGGAAGGAAGGAAGGAAGGAAGGAAGGAAGGAGAAGAACTGTGGGGTCTTTACTGCTTTCTGAACTGGGTGGCTTTCTTGCAGACGTTTCATGATCCAACTAGGGAACATCATCAGTGCTAGAAGGGAGAGGGAGGGAGGGAGGAAGAGGAGGAGGGAGAGAAGGAAGCAGATTGTGGAGTCCTTGTTGCTCTCTGAGCTTGGAGGTTTTCTTGCAGATGTTTCAAGACCCAACTAGGGAACATCATCCGTGCTAGAAGGTGTTTATACACAAGTGGCTTGCTTGCCAGTGTTGGTGGGAGTGTTCTTTTCGTCTTGGTGGTTCCTTGACTACGTCAAGCCCCAAAACACGAGAGAATACCTGGAAGCCTGGCATTCCAACAAATCGCCCATCCACGGGCACATAGATATAAACAACATCTACACACCATTCAAAAAAGAGACGTTTAAATGCTCCAGTTAAGGAACTGGAGACAATTCAAACAGGACGGAGCAGCCTAATTAAGAAACACCCAAGAAAACTCCCACCAACAAGGACAGGGCAAATCACTTGTATATAAAATGAGAGCAAACCTCCCTCCCTTCTAGCATTGATCAGGTTGCCTAGCTGGGTAATGAAACGTCTGCAAGAAGACAGCCACACTGGGGGAGCACCAAGAAACCCACAGGCATCGTCCTCCTCCACTCTGCAACCCTCCCCCCCTCTGCTTCTGTCACTGATGATGTTCCCTAGTTGGGTCGTGAAATGTCTGAAAGAAAACCACCAAGCTCGGAGAGCACCAAGGACCCCACAGTTCTTCCTTCCTTCCTTCCTTCCTTCCTTCCTTCCTTCCTTCCTTCCTTCCTTCCTTCCTTCCTTCCTTCCTTCCTTCCTTCCTCTCTCTTTCTCCTTCCTCTCTCTTTCTCCTTTCCTTCCTTCTTTCCTTCCTTCCTTCCTCTCTCTTTCTCCTTCCTTCCTCTTTTTTTCCTTCCTTCCTTCCTTCCTTCCTTCCATCCATCCTTCCTCTTTCTCCTTCCTTCCTCTCTGTCCTTCTTTCCTTCCTTCTTTCCTCTCTCTTTCTCCTTCTTTCCTCTTTTTCTCCTTCCTTCCTTCCTTCCTTCCTTTCTTCCTTCCTTCCATCCTTCCCCTTTCTCCTTCCTTCCTCTCTCTCTCCTTTCTTTCTTTCCTTCCTTCCTTCCTTCCTTCCTTCCTTCCTTCCTTCCTTCCTTCCTTCCTCTCTCTTTCTCCTTCTTCTCTCTTTCTCCTTTCCTTCCTTCTTTCCTTCCTTCCTTCCTCTCTCTTTCTCCTTCCTTCCTCTCTCTTTCTCCTTCCTTCCTCTTTTTTCTCCTTCCTTCCTTCCATCCATCCTTCCTCTTTCTCCTTCCTTCCTCTCTCTGTCCTTCTTTCCTTCCTTCCTTCCTCTCTGTTTCTCCTTCTTTCCTCTTTTTCTCCTTCCTTCCTTCCTTCCTCTCTGTTTCTCCTTCTTTCCTCTTTTTCTCCTTCCTTCCTTCCTTCCTTCCTTCCATCCTTCCTCTTTCTCCTTCCTTCCTCTCTCTCTCCTTTCTTTCTTTCTTTCTTTCCTTCTTTCCTTCCTCTTTTTTCTCCTTCCTTCCTTCCTTCCATCCTTCCTCTTCCTTCCTCCTTCTCCTTTCCACTCCTTACTAGCACTGATGACGTTCCCTAGTTGGGTCACAAAACGTCCGCAGGAAAACCACCCAGCTCGGAGACCACCGGGGACCCCTCCGTTCAACCCCGAGCTACGAAGACCCTCTCCCATGGGTCCACATCTACAGAAAGGCCGCCCCTCAAGTCAACCTCCCCAAGAATGACTCCAAAGCCTCCAGGGACTCTGGCTGAGGACCACCCCCGAGCACCTTCCCCGGAGTCCCTCCCCTCCCTTCCCAACCTCATCGGCCACCCCTGTCCCCGCTTGCTTTACTCGCCGGTGTTGCTCTCCCTTTCATCATCTCGCTCGCCTGCGCCTCCCTTCCTCTGGGGCCACGGCCTGTTTTTCCTCTCGGGCAGCTGCGGGCGTTTGTTTGCGGCATTTCCCCACCCGTTTCGGTTACTTAGCATTTCTTTCCCTCCTGCCTTGTTTACCTGGCCCTCTGCGCTTTCCCCACAGGTGCGCAAGTACAAAAGCATGATCCTGGAAGATTTGGAGTCGGCGCTGCTGGAGCACGCCCCTGCGCCGCAGGAGGTGAACTCCGAGCTGCCCCCGCTCACCATCGACGGCATCCCGGTCTCGGTGGATAAGATGACCCAGGTAACCCAAGCCGGAGAGCTGGACACCTGGGGCCAGGTTGCCACGCCAGGGAGGGAGCGTCAAAAGTCTCTCTAGCTGATTGGGTTTTTTTCCCCAGCAAAGCATCTCTCGGCCTCTTCCCACAACTCCTCGGAGAGGCACTTAATTCTTCTCCCTCCAGGCACAGCCATCTTCCGAAACGCAGGCGGTCCTCGGCGTACGGCCGCACAACTTAGCTTCAAAACCTGCGTGGCTAAGCGAAACACTGAGTTTTCACCCTCCTTGCCGCGACGGTTAAGTCAATCGCTGCGGTTGTTAAGCCAGTCACCCCGTTGTTAAGCGAACCTGGTTTCCCCCCCCCCCTTGACTTTGCCCGTCAGAAAGTCACCACCGTCGTAAATAGGAGTCGGCTGCCAAGCGTCCGAAGCCACCGAACAACTGATCCGCTTAACGGTGGCAAGGGAGGTCGTAAAACGGGGCGACGCTCGCCGAAGAGCGACTGCCTTACTTAGCGACGGAAATTTTGGGGTGTGTCGGGGACGCCGCGCCAGCTGTGAAAGCGGAACCTCTGGAGCAACGGGGAAATTAAGGCTTGTCAAAGCCGGGCTTTGACAAGCAATTGGGCAATTGGTTTGAGGACCCCGATTAGTCTTTGGGAAGCGACGTCGCTGATCATCTTCTGCTCCTAATTAAAGGTCTCGTGCCTGAGCGGGCTTGCTAGGCCCAGCCCTGCTTGATTGCCTCCCCGAGGCCCTTGACGAGTGCTGGCGGTGGCGCAAAACTCTTGAGTTTCTAATTAATCCATCTGGGGAGCAAAAGCAAAAAAATAAAATAAAAATACAACTTTCAAAGCAGCCAGGTGGAGCTTCTGGACCCCAGAAGCCTCACCTGAGGAGAAGCAGGCAAAAATCACACCCCACGGGCCTTTGGGGTGAGTTGAAGAGCAGGGGTCTTCAAACTGGGCCACTTTAAGACTTGTGGACTTCAACTCCCCAGAATTCCTCAGCCAGGATAATTCCATCATTCCTTTAAACATGCTGGCTGGGGAATTCTGGGAGTTGAAGTCCACAAGTCTTAAAGTGGCCAAGTTTGAACAGCGGGGATGTAAGGCAGGGGTCTTCAAACTTGGCCCTTTGATGACTTGTGGACTCCAACTCCCAGGCCGCCGAATCGCAAAGGTTGGGGACCGCTGGCTTACACAAGCTTCTGCCAGATGCTTTCTGAAGTTGATATGCCGCAATGTAATTATTGCAATATTAGTTGCGAGACACTAGGAGCTGCTTTAGTGTGATAGTGTGTTTTCATAGCTATTGTATACCTCTTTATGGAAAGATTGGGAAAACCTGGGGAAAAAAAGCTCTCTTTGATTTCGTATCTATGGGAGAGAGACAGACAGACAGACAGACACAGACAGAGAAAAAGAGAGAGAGAGAGAAAAGAGAGAGAGAAAGAGACACAGAGAGAGAGAAAGAGAGACACAGAGAGAGAGACAGAGAGAAAAAGAGAGACGGAGAGAGAAAGAAAAAGAGAGACAGAAAAAGAGAGAGACAGAAAAAGAGAGACAGACAGACAAAGAAAGAGAGAGAGAAAGAGACAAACAGAGACAGAGAAAGAGAGAGAGAGAGAAAGACAGAAAAAGACAGAGACAGAGAGAGAAAGAGAGACAGACAGAGAGAGAGAGAAAGAGAGACAGAGAGAGAGAAAGAGAGACAGAGAAAGAGACAGAGAGAAAAAGAGACAGAGAGAGACAGAGAAAAAGAGACAGACAGAAAGAGAGAGAAAAAGACAGAGACAGACAGAAAGAGACAGAGAGAGAAAAAGAGAGACAGAGAGAGAAAGATAGACAGAAAGAGAGAGAAAGAGAGACAGAGAAAGAGAGAAAAAGACAGAGACAGAGAGAAAGAAAGAGACAGAGAGAGAAAGAAAGAGACAGAGAGAGAGAAAGAAAGAGACAGACAGACAGAGAGAGAGAAAGAGACAGACAGAAAGAGAGAGACAGAGAGAAAAAGAGACAGAGAGAGACAGAGAGATAGGTGGAAGAGGAAATGGGGCCGATTCACATATTCCACATATTTTTTCAGAAAGCCTTGGGGGGAAGCAAGGCACTCCCTTTCCTTCCTACCAAGAGAAAAAGGAGGAGGAGGAGGAGGAGGAAGGTGATGCAACTCGCAAAAGCCAGAATTAGCGATCTGCAGACAAATACACCCTAAACACTGCAGCATTTCCCCATGGGTTAAAAAAAAAAGAAGAATAACCATCTGCATTTTATATACGCCATCTCTTAGTTGACACAGAACCTCTGTAGGCTCCGTTCTTCCTTCAAGAATTTCCAGTGCAATTCACAAAAAAATGTAAATAGCTACGGAATGGGAAATAGGGATGGATCGAAGAGCTGCGTAAACAGCTGGAGGAACATACCTTGAGTGAGGACTGTGGCTTGATCTGGTGGATGATCGCTTGTTTGTTTTTGGTTTGCTATTCTCCAGAGTCTTCTCCAACCCCAAACTTCAAAAGCATCAATACTCTTCCTATCTTGTCCCAGAGGGTGCTGTGATATGCCCCCTCCCCGCCCTATTCTCAAATGCAGTAGGAAGTGTACGCTTAGTTCCGCGTTAATGTTTTTCCAGTATCTCTGAAAATCTTGCGTTGATATACACTGTAATGGGCCAGGATGCAATATCCTTGCATCTTGATATCATCTGTGCATTAAATGTACATTTATTGTATATTCATATTTACATTTTAATATACAGTATTATATCCTATTTATATACAATATTATATCCTATTTATATTGTATATAAATATACAATATAAATAGGATATAATACTATCTTAAAATGTAAATAGAATATAGAGTAGGGTACCGTACAATAGAATAGAATAAAACTAGAACAGAACAGAAATAGAATAGAATAGAATAGAATAGAATAGAATAGAATAGAATAGAATAGAATAGAATAGAATAGAAAAAAATAGAATTTTTTATTGGCCAAGTGTGAATTTGTCCCCGATGCATAAGCTCTCAGTGTACATACAAACAATAAAGTGGTGGGTCATATATCATGGATTATAGTTACAATCATTAATCATAATATACATCAAGTGATAAATCATAGATACCAATAGGAGGAGGTAAATGAGAGAAGATGAGAATTTATTTATTTATTTATTTTAACATGGGTAGCCTCCCAGAGTCACCTTGTAGTTGCGATGGACAGCAAACAAATTTGATAAATAAATACAAATAAATGCGATCTTTGGAGAGTGAGATGAGTAGCGTATACATTTCACGAATAAAACCTTGATATTCCATAGCCTCTCGCTATGATCTGTAACAGTTGGCCAAGCTGCCAGCGCAGACCTTTGCTTCCCAGATCTTTAATTATTTAATTTTCTTTCTCCCCCCCCCCCTTAATGCCACAGGCCCAGCTGAGGGCGTTCATTCCTGAAATGCTGAAATACTCAACGGGTCGCGGGAAGCCGGGCTGGGGTAAGGAGAGCTGCAAACCCATTTGGTGGCCCGAAGACATTCCGTGGGCTAATGTCCGCAGTGATGTCAGGACCGAGGAGCAGAAGCAGAGGGTACGTCTTGACCAGTTTCTTCCTTCTATTAGCAACGGGTTTTTTTAGGCTTGGCACATGGAGAGGTGTACCAATTCGGGGGCTCGGTTGAATGGCGCAGTCCAGGTAAGAACAAAAGTCACTCAGAAGACATGATGAAAACTCCTTCGTTTTACCCCACGTGTGGAGAGACACCCTCCCCACACATACCGTTGTTTCAACTGGGTAACTGTGAGCATCCTAGACCCAATCAAAGTCCCAAAATATTCCAGAATTTCTGCAAGCCCAGCACTTAATCAGCCATCAACAGGCACATAGAGATAAGCTAACGTTTACACACCGTTAAAAAGTGACCATAGAGGCTTCCGATTTGTAATCGCGGCGCTGACGGACGTGTGGAGCGATTGCTCCCTCCGCCGTCCGGTTTTGTCCCGCCGTGGGACCCTGAAAAGGGTCGAAAGTCATCCTGGAGGGGCGATGAGCGTGAAGGGGACCTCTGACTGATCGCGGAGGGGCGGCAGCCCTTCCGTTTGACCCGGAGCAGTTCTTCTGACTGACGGGGAAAAGAATGCCATTTCTAGCTGAGGCCAAACTTACAACTAAGCACTTGCAAGCACCACGGAGAAAACTGGGTGAGATCCTACCTTCTTTCTATCCCAAGTATTTTTTCCTGCAAAAGCTTTTTGAAATTGCTTCCTCCTGTGAGGAGAGAGGGAAGGGAACGTTTTTTCCCCCCACCCTCTAAGATGGTGGCGTTTGCCTACATAGGGGAAATAAAGCCCTGAAAAATATAATTGGACTTACATGTTTCTTAGATATGGCGACCCAAAAAGTTCCTACTTTCAAAAGTGACCGTCGAAAAGCTAAAAGGCCAAAAGGTTCCCTTGCCAGCAATGAACACCCAGATAAGCAGCTCTCAACACTAAGATTAATGCTAGACCAACAATCAGTCAATAAACAATGCCCCAATCAAGGCATTACCAACTCTGACAAACCATCAAACAGGAAACAACAGCCTAATCAAGGAATCAGCAAGAACACCTCAACCAACACTGACAGGGCAGGCTATTTGTATATAAACAGCAAACCCCCCCATTCCTTTCTGGCACCGATGACGTTACCGAGTTGGGTCATGAAACGTCTACAAGCCAATAACCAAACTCAAAAAAAGTTCGGGTCTGCTAGAACTCGCATCGCATCCTGAAGAATCAAATTGTCCAGCTTCCCACCACCTTGTCCCTTAAGCGCAACTCCAGATGAGCCCTTTCAGACAACGGATGCTAACAGAATAACAAGAGTTGGAAGGGACCTTGAGGTCTTCTAGTCCAGCCAGGCCGGAAACCCTTCTACCATTCCAGACAAACGGTGGTTCAACCTTTTCTTGAAAACCTCCAGTGTTGGAGCACCCACAGCTTCTGGTGGCAAGCTGTTCCACTGGTTCATTGTCCTCAACTGTCAGGAAGCTTCTCCTTAATTCCAGGTTGCTTCTCTCCTTGATGAGTCTCCACCCGTTGCTTCTTGTCTTGCCCTCTGGTACTTCTTTGTGACAACCCCTTAGATACTGGACGGTGCAAGAAACGAGAATAATATCCTATTTTTGTTCCAGTAAATCTGGAATCTTAGGGCTGGAAGGGATCTGGTGGGGTCTTCTGGTCCAGCCCCTTGCCCAAGGTACGAGATCTTAACACCATCCAGGACGAGAGGTTGTCGAATCTTTTCTCGAAACCCTCCAGCGATGGAGCACCCACACATGTTCCATTGATTGATTATTCTCACCATCAGGAAATTCCTCCTCATTTCAAGGTTGGGCTTCTCCTTCCGAGAGGCGCTTCCACCCATCCGCCCTGGGTAAAATTGACTGGGTGGTCTAAGTGTTCTCTGGGTGACGTGACCCCAAGCGGGCTGTGCTGCCGGTGGGCTGGATCGAGCGATGACCTACCTCTCTTTAGTCCCCCTGATCTTTTCTCCTCTCTCTCTTTCTCGCCCGGCCTCAGGTGTCGTGGACCCAGGCACTGCGGACCATCGTGAAAAACTGCTACAAGCAGCACGGGCGCGAGGATCTGCTTTACGCGTTCGAGGATCAGCAGACCCAGTCGGTGACCGCCACCCACAGCATAGCCCACCTGGTCCCCTCCCAAACCATGGTCCAGACCTTCAGCAATCCAGACGGCACCGTGTCGCTCATCCAGGTGGGGCTCGCCATGATTCATCTCATGGCCTCTCCTTGGCCTGGCATTGGGATCGTCCTGGTGGGGTGGGGTGGGGTTTTAGGTCCTCCGTGCTGAGCAAAAGTAGGTTTGGGGTCCATGCGCTATTACCCCTGAGGCTTCAGCAATTAGAACTGGGGGGATGGGCATCTTTCAGATCTTCTGAAGGATCAAAAGGATCTTTTTCCTTAAAAGCTGCTTATGCATACTGGGTTTTTTTTAAAAAGCATTTTTATAGGATTCTATCATGATGGAGTAAAAAGTAGGTGATGCTTCCTTCGCGGAAAGAGGAGAGAGTGGGCGTCTGCAATTTCCTTCCTTCCCTCGTCTCTTTCCTGTCCCTCCCTCCGTCCCTCCCCTCCCTCCCCTCTTTGCTCCTTCCTTCCTTCCCTTTCTTTCTTCCTCTTCCTTCCTTCCATTCTTTCTCTTTTTTCCTTCCCTTCTTCCCCTCCTTTCTACCCTCATCTCCTTTTCCTGTGTCCCTTCTCTCCTTTTTCCTTCCATCCATCCATCCATTCTTCCTTCTCTCTTTTCCCTCCCACCCTTCTATCCTTCCTTCCCTCATCTCTTTTCCCTTCCTCTCTTCCTCCTCTCATCATTTTTCCTCCTTCCTTCTCTCCTTTTCTTTCTTCCTCTTCCTTCCATTCTTTCTCTTTTTCCTTCCCTTCCTTTCTACCCTCATCTCCTTTTCCTTTGTCCCTTCTCTCCTTTTTCCTTCCTTCCTTCTTCCTCCCTCTCTCCCTCCTTCCTTCTCTCTTTTCCCTCCCACCCTTCTTTCCTTCCTTCCTTCCCTCATCCCTTTTCCCTTCCTCTCTTCCTCTCATCATTTTTCCTCCTTCCTTCCTTCCTTCCATCCATCCATTCTTCCTTCTCTCTTTTCCCTCCCACCCTTCTTTCCTTCCTTCCCTCGTCTCTTTTCCCTTCCTTTTCTCTCATCATTTTTCCTCCTTCCTTCCTTCCCTTCCTTTCTACCCTCGTCTCCTTTTCCTTTGTCCCTTCTCTCATTTTTCCTTCCTTC